CGCGCCATTTGTGAAGGATTGAGAGACACGCAGCTCATCGAAGGATATTCTGCAGAAGCAAAGATTGAGGTCCTGTTATTTTTCCTTTTTTTTTTTTTTTTTTTTTTTTTTTATCCCGGCGGTTTAGTGATGTAGTGTATTGCCATATATGGACGTGCATCTTCTGGGAACGTTGTAGAATATCTAATGTCATAAAATTTTTATGTCGGGAAGTGATATTAATTTCCAGGAATGGTCATGGATATATTGATTTACTTGCAGATTACATGATGCATATATTTCTGTATATGCATATATACACATATATAAACATACACCACGCACAAACGCACACACAATATCTACGACATACAACACACACACACACACACACACACACACACACACACACACACACACACACACACACACACACAACACACATAAATAAATATATTATTATATATATTATATATATATTATATATTACATATATATCAAGGGAAATAAAACCCCTGGTTGCGCTCACAGGCACCCGGGCGTGGCCAAGGAGGCTGAAGGTTGCTGGGTGATCCTCACACGCAGAGAAAAAAGCCAACGGAGAACCTGGCCGCAGCGTCACTTGACCAGTGCTTACCCTCGAAGCAAGACGCCGCAGCCGCATCGCCGGAGAAAACAGTTAACCGAATAAAGAAAAAAGGAGAATGATCGAGATCGCGGACGCCTTCCTCTTCCTCTGGCACTCTGGGTCTTATTCTGCGCTTGGAGTACATTCCTCTTTCGTCATCTTCGCCAGAGAATTGGAAATAATAGTCTGAGCTACGATGAAGAAACCCTCCACACACACACACACACACACAGACACCTGTACGGAACACCTGCCGGAGACACACTGGCTTGCACTTGCGTTGACTACAGAGGTTATGTCTCCGAAACGCTGGATTTACTGTATTTTGTATCCATGTCCGAACTGATGCAAACTGACTTCATACAAAGTAGGTAGTTTCATCTCATAGATCGTCGGTAAAAATAAGGGTATTTTCTGGCCAATAAGGGGATTAATTAAGGATATATTTGAGGGGAAGATCTGGGTCATGGGTCATGCTAAAAAGGTAATGAAATACTTGCACAAGTGCGCGCGTGGGCGTGAGGCCTGTGTGAGCCTGTGGGTGTGCATACGCTGTTCATGCATATACATACATACATCCGTGTGTATGTGTAACAAAGCCTGCATTATTCTATCTATCTATCTATCTCTATATAAATGTGTACATATATATATACATTCATATTTACACACACATACAAACACACACCACACACACCACACACACACACACACACACACACACATACATTACATACACACACACACACACACAACCACACACACACAACACACACACACACACACACACCACACACATTATTATATATTATATATATT